TTTTTTTTTATGATTATAAATAACTGGTTTATTTAATATTAATAACATAATGTGATTTGGAAAGATAATTTAACTGTGCATATTTTTGTAAAAACATAATATAAATTTCTTTAAAAAATACAAAATGGCGGAGGTTTAAACACAAAAAATCAAATTTTCTCAGCAAAAAATGCAAATTTTACATTTCTTCTTATTTTAAACAATATATAAATAAATATATACATATTCAATTTATTTATATATAGAGAGAGATGAAATTTAACCCTCTTTTAACAACCCCTTCAGTAAAATTGGCATAAATCTGTGTCCGATTTCCCGCTTTGAAATTCTATTTGTATCTGCGTTAACTATCTACAAGTCCAACATTCCAACAATTTGCGTCGCAAAAGCAAACCAACAAACGTTCGTATGTTAGAGGAAAGCTCCTCATCCCTTTGCTGAACACAGGGGGGATGAGGGTGTATGTCCGTGCTCTCGACCGAGGCGTTAGTCCCGTGTGGATAAACGTTAATTCCATTCGTCGTCGTTTTCGCCACGCCATTGAAAACAGAAGCTCTGGAAGCTCAAAAGCTAAAAGCTCACACAAACAAATATTACAATTCTTTATCCTTGTACCTTAAAATGCAAAAAGAAAAATTTTAATCCCCAAGTAAAAATGAGCATAAAAACTTACCATTTCCGGTTTTGGTTTGTGTTTTGGTCCTTGATATATCCTGTCAACGTGTGTCTATTTGCCGCACGCATAAATACAAAAGCATATTCCATCCTTCATCCCACATCCCGAGCTTTCAACCCCAAACACTTTACCTCCACGCAGTGAACAACGTACGGTAAACGACGGCACTATAAGGACGCAGGACGAGCATCGGAGCTTTGATGCGTAATTCCGAATTAATTTGCATACTTTGCACAATGTGTGTAATGATTGATTAAACTCGAACCGACACACTCACACGCACACATAAATAATTTCTATTAAACACACGCACGCAGCTATCATACATGATAAACTATGGTGGTAGTTGTGGCCACAGTCATTCTCCGCGTCGAGAGTTGCGCGCAATGAAACGCGTATTGTTATATTGTCGTGAGTAGGCCAATGAGGTATATATGAGGCTTGTGCGGAACCTCACCCTCTTTTGCCGCCCCCCATGCCACCGCCGACAAACTTCCTCTGGTATAGGTTTCGATGGTGCGGGCGTACGAGCGGGCCAATGAGTAATGAACAAGCGGCCATTAAGTATGGTTAATGATGTTCACATGCAGCGCACACCAGCGTTGTTATATTGTTGTAATCTGTCAAACCATAATTAAATATGTACGCACACCCTTCCAGGCACACACTCAGTCTACGCTTTATAGAAAGGAGGCATCATCAAGGTTTGATTTATTGCCGTCTGGTTAGGAAAACGAGTTTTTGTTTCATAAAGTGTTTTAATTTAGTTTTTCAATGGGAAAAACGCAAAATTTTTGTGACATTGTTTAGTTATTTATAAAAATTAAATATTTATATGGAAAATATTTTTTGTTGTATAATAAACATGAAAAAATTGATTTTTTACAGGAAAATAAATATTTTTTACAAAAATTTCAATTATTTTGTTGTTTATTTATATTTTTAATAAATTTTTAAACAAAATCATAAATAAATACATATATTTAAGGAATATGTTCAATATTTAAGTTTAGTTTAATTTGATACAGTGTAATTTTAATTTAAAGTTAAGGTATTTTTATTCCCGGCGCCTCCACTCTATAATCCCAATGCATTTTAACGTTTTTTTGCATTTAAAGATGTTTTAAAGTGTCGTACACTCGTTGTGAATTAGTATTAATTAAAGTTTGTAGAGTCATGTCGTCTGACTGTAATTAATAACACATTAAGTGGCAAATAAGCAATGCCGCACAAGCACCGCGCCGCTCAAAGTGGGTGAGAGTGGACGTTTTATGGAAAATGTTGTCGTAGTCTCCTCCGGTGCACGCCGCACGCCTCTTAAAATATGCAAATTCTTCATGTTTTAATGCGCCATCCCGCTGCTTTGCTGCTCTGGCTCTTTACCGCCGTTTTTACTCGGAAACTATTTCGCTTATAAGCCGCGATTGCGCTCGGATTTGTTTCTATTTTCGGGCTGGTCGCTGCATAATTGTAGCGAATGCGACAGTAGACAATGGAAATTCGCTTCGGATTTATGTCTAACGACGTTTGTGCTAGCCAAGGCGCAGCGGAAGCAAACTGAAAGCCCGAGACGAGCTTCGTTTAGAGGTTTAGACGTTTGCTCGAACGGTTATTGCGGATATAGAGTCGGTGATCATTAGGGACGAGAAGCAGCGTCCTTTATAGCGTTGTTCTATTAAGGTAATCTTATTACAAAAGCTCCAGGCGTTTATCGTGATAACTGCCAACACAATCATAACCTCAAAATTTGTTTTTTCAAAATTACAAAAAAAAAATTTAAACCTGAAAAGTCGAAAAAGTCGAAATTTGGTTGGAATTAGTAGAAAGTGTTGAAGGGGTTGTTTCACACCCTTGGCGTCTTTCTCGACGACGAACACAGATTGTCGGAATAGAATTGAATCAATTCCCAAGCCTTAATGTG